GTCATATTAATTAAGACATCTGTCACCACACAGTTACCATTTATGGGGGCGTGGTAGTGAGGACTCTTAAGATCTACTCTCTTAGAAGATTTCAAATAAGCGCGAGGCGCGGGAGCAACACCGAGGGTTGCGGTCCCGTTGCTGGTCCCAGTCCAGTGCGGGGGCGACACTGAGGGTTGCGATCCGTTGCCGGACACGGAAAAAGACAAAAAAAAAAAAAATACAATTTGCTATGGTGACTGTTTCTCAGTCTCTGAACTTAATTAAAGGGCTTGTTCAAATGAAACTTGGGAATCATTGGTTTAATTATAAAGTTGGAGCTGAGCACAGTAGAATTTCAGTTCCTCCTCTAATATGCCCTAACTAAATTAAAACATCACTTAAGTTGACATTTTTTATTTTTCTGCATGAACATGTATTAAAGTTGTTTTTTAATAGGGAACAGTATTTTGGGATCAACTAAATACATATTTAGCAAGAGTGTGTATGTGGAAACATATTTGATATTGATATTTGATAAATATCAAAGGAGGTTTTCCTGACACAAGCAAGTTTTCAATGGGAAACTTGGTTTATTGCATGTGCCATTTTGTTAACTATATGAACTAGAGAAAATGTAATTTTGGTGGTATTAGACAGGTAAATTAAGCAATTTACATAACGTTTTTGGTTTCTAATTTAACTTTTTTTCTCTTTTAGATCTGCCCACAGTAGAGGAGCTGATGAAACCTATCAGAATAGATTCCTTTGGGGTCAGTGGTTTTGATTTACAACCTGTCAGGTATGAGTTTTTGGGAACATATTGTGCAGGTTGATGGGTTGGTTGAATTTTGTTTATCTATTTGTTTATTGTTTTGTCATTGGAAACTTTTACAATCATTTGTTCCATGTAATCATTTCTAGCAAGTGATTAATGGCCAATAATATTAGCTCATCTGAGTTTACCTGTTAGTCACTGCTCTCTTCTTTTTATGTTTGTCCTCAGTCAATTAATTTATCAAAAGTCTTCTAGAGCTAAAAGGTAAAAAAAAAAAAACAAAAACAGATCTCCTAAAAAAGTTGCTGACATTAAGTAGTCTTAAACTGTTCACTGAAAAATATGATCTCTTCAGCACAGGGACAGTTGATTCATGATGAGGGGGAAAGTGAATTTTACTCTGTATATGAGTGATATATTTGCTTTTTTATAAACCAGTTTTTTTTTCTTTTTTTAAATTTGTTTTCTATTTTTCATAATTTTTTCTAGTTTTATTGAGGTATAATTTGACAAAAATAGTATATATTCAAGGTATACAGTGTGATGATTTGATATATGTATACATTGTGGATTGATTATTACAGTCATATTAATTAACACATCTGTCACCACACAGTTACCATTTATGGGGGGGTGGTAGTGAGGACTCTTAAGATCTACTCTCTTAGAAGATTTCAAATAAGCAATACAGTATTATTAACAGCAGTCATCATGCTGTACATGAGATCCCTGGAACTTACTCCTCTTATAACTGAGAGTTTGTACCCTTTGATCATCTCCTCAACACACCAACCCCCATCCTCTGGCAACCACCATTCTATCTTCTGCTTCTACAAGTTCAACTTTTTAAGATTCCACATGTCAATGAGATCATACTTTGTCTTTCTATGTCTGGCTTTTTTCACTTACATAACACCCTTCAGTTTCATCCATGTCCTCATAGATGAAATGACAGGATTTTCTTCTTTTTTATGGCTGAATAACATTCCATTGTGTACATATATATCACATTTTCTTTTTTTTTTTTTTCTTTTACCCTAAATATTAGACTTTATTTTTATAGTAGTTTTAGGGTAAACCAGTTGGTTTTGACTTAGTCACAGACTGGCCATCGTTTCACAGGTTGAGTTCTGTGGTCACAAGAGAAATGGGCTTCTTGAAAATGCTCCAGCTCCAACACTGTTTAGTGGAAGGTTGTGCAGCCCACGATCATTCTTCAACACACAGAGTAGCACATCACAGTAACCTTGTCGTCAAACACTCTGCACTTGTGTAGCACTTACAGTGTCACATCCAGTATCTCACATAATCCTTACAACAAGTAGGACATCTCTATCCCATCATTCAACTGATGAAACCGAGGTAAAGCCAAGTTAGTGGTGGAGCTCTCACAAGAACCAGATGGTGATGATAACAGCTAACCTCTACCTCATGTTTACTGTGGGCAGGTACTGTGCAAAGTTCTTTACGTATATAATTTCAGTTAACCTTACAGCAACTCCATAGGATATAGTACATTATTATACCTAAGTCATGGACAAGAAAACTGAGGTTTAAGAGGTTAAAATAAATAAGTCCATTTCCCAAGGTCATACAGCTATAACCAGGAAACACAAGCAGTCCATGTACTTAACCACTTATATTGTCAGATCTTGATCTCCATGAAATATTTCTGTGAAATAGCCCATTATCCGTTCATCTAGTCATTTGTTCATTTGTGTTTTCAACAGCCACATTTTGAGCCCCTTATTCTATAGCTCCATCATGTAAATCCACTTGCAGTGATTTCTCAACCTTTTTCTACCTTATGCTAATTGAGAGAAAATGATATAGTGAAGCTTATGCATTTTAGCATTCACTTTAATGCTAAGTCTAGTATTCTTGCCCTAATCTGTAGTGCTACTTAGTATTTTTAAAGGGGATATTGTGCTCACTCATCATTGATATTTGGGGGTATGTTAATGTTACTGAAGAGATTTTCATACACATCTAGTATCTCTATTGTTATAGGTAAAATCATTTTAGTAACATTAATTCTAAAACATAGATTTTTATGTTTGTGTTTAAAAGCTGAAAACAAGTATATTTACATTAAAGACATAACAATAATTATAGAATGTCAGTAACGTGACCTTTAGTACACACATGCAAAAAGTCGTTAGTAAGATGTAGGGCAAATAATCCTAGCTGCTGTAATAGATAATCCTTGAATTATAGAATGTCAGTAACGTGACCTTTAGTACACACATGCAAAAAGTCGTTAGTAAGATGTAAGGCAAATAATCCTAGCTGCTGTAATAGATAATCCTTGAAATCTTAGTGCCGGGGACCAGCCCCAGCACAGAGATTGAAA